AATCGTGCGAAGATGTTAAAGCGGGCTCTACCATTGTTTTAAACATATAGACATTCCGTTTACTTATTATCAATTTTTTTTTTATTACTTTTTCTGGGGGCTTTGTGTCGAAATGATTATAACGCCCCATAAGTCTAAAACTAACAAAACTAAGTTCTCTAACTACTTTCTTAAACAATTATCTTTAATTCGATCTTAAAATACGACTATTATTAGTTTCTGAATATTTTGTATAGAAACGTATTTTAATTACTACGAGTATAGTTAATAGTATTACGAAATAATTACTTTCTGTTACCGTCGTAAATTAAAGGAAGGTTTCCACGAAGGCTTTTATTATTAACTTAGGGTGAAAGTTAATTAAATTTTCTTAAAACCCCCTGTATATCGCACAATAGGACAATATACGACCAAACACACGGAACCCATCGCCCAATTTTATTCGCAGGACTATTAGATTAATAAATTTCATGTAATAACATAAATAACAATGTTTTTTAACGTTAATAAAATGTTATTTTTTTTAATTTTATTATCAATCAAACAGTTTAATGATCATAACATGTAAAATTTCAATGATGTATTTTTTAATCTCGAACATAATTACATGTTTGTATTATTTTAACGAACTTCTATTGCTTATAGTTTCATAACTATACTACTAATATCGTAAAGAGAAAAGATATATTTTGTATGTAACTAAAACTCAAAAATACTCGACCAGTTCACATAATTCTTAATACAATTAGAAAGCTATATTATCATTGAGTAACATAGGATGTTTATTATCTACAAAGGTTTTTATATTTTTTGATTAACGCATACGAAGTCGCGAGCCAAAGTTAGTCTAGCAAATAAATTAATTTAGGGATAAAGATAAGAAAAAACACAAAAAGAACATAGGGCTATATTTCACAATCAATTAACAATTATTACTTTTTTTTTATAATATAAGATGGCAAACGAGCAAGCGGCCACCTGAATCCGCCAAAATGGCGAAGCGACCGCTGCCTATAGACATCCGCATTTGCAGATGCGTTGCCTACCCTTATCCGACGGAGGAGGAGACGCACATAAAGAGGATATTTCCTCTTCCTATGCATCTCCTCCATCGTCAAATCCACTTCCCCTTCCCATCCTCTCATAAGAAAAGGGTGGTAAAGAGAAAGGGACTTAAATTAGGCCTCCGGCACCACACTCATCAGACGAAACACGGAATTGCTTCCATTTCACGCCTGTCTTTTGTGTGATCGTGGTATTACACCGAGCGTGCCGGACCATTCGTGCTAAGATGTTAAAGCGGGCACTACCACTGTTACTTACTTACTTTTGTTTGTACTCGTAAATCCAGCAACAGGTTTTCGAACTCGCGAATAAAAAAAAACATATTTATGTATTCTTCCACGCTATGTTCTAAATGCCAGATTTCAACAAGATTTTTTGAACTATTCTGGAGATATTTAATAACATGCATCCATCTAAACTATCGCATTTATATTACTAAGATATTACTTACGATATATTTTACCGGAAACTATGTTCTTTACCGCATCTAGCGTGTTACATCTTCAGCGGCTAGAAATTTAATTAGTTTCAAAAACTTAGCCTGAGCTTAAAGACTGTTAAATATTGCTTAAGTTTGTATCTCGGAAGATAGCACAGTGATTTACAAACCTTGTGAAAAATATTTTAAGATTAAAACGCATAATTTATATTTTACGGCATTTTTAAATTATCTACCAATTTTTGACTAACTATTGCTCGCGACGTGGTCCGCGTGAAATTTAAAAAATTATTCAATAGCTTATTTAATTTTCCATGTTATACTCTCCATCTATGCCGAATTTCAGTGTGATTTTCAGCTGTTTAGGAGATATTTTATAACAAGCATCGAAACAAACTGTTGCATTTATAATTAGTAAAAATAGATTTTATAACTACGTATAGGGGGCGTGCTAATACTGGATTAAGTACACTTGAGTGATACAGTTTTTATTTAGTTCTAATGCTATTATTAAAAGTAACGGCTCAGTGTCAGTACTTGACTTGTAATCTACAGGTCTTGGGTTCGAATCCCGCTATGTACCAATGTCATTTTTCGAATTTTCATACGTACATAATTTTGTTATTGCTTACCGATTCTAGTATTAGGTTGACCTATATTTCAACGCAGTAAAACTCAAGTTACGTAGTTCGGAAACGCATTTCATTAAATTATCGAACAAATACCATTAAGGGTTAATCATAGCTGGGGAACGGGTCATTAAAATGGTAGAATTCTCATATAAATCAAGGTTAAAACACTATTGTATACATAATTTGTCATTTAAATAAATGATATTCAATATAAAAATGTATCATTCACAGCCATGTCTGACGTCTCTTGAGATATAAACGGTAATACTTTTTATCAATTCCACATTTGTTGGGAAGTCGCGAGATGTCTCTCGGGTGTCGTATATCGTTTTACCTTAAAAGCAGCTGATGTAAATGGATAACAGCTTTCCTTATTTCTTTATTTATGATATACTAGCTTTCGCCCGCGACTCCGTTCGAGTGGAATTAAAAATACAAAAATGAGTAGCCTATATTTCTTCCATACTTTCCTCTATGTCTATGCCGAATATCATCGAGATCTGTTAAGCCATTTAGGATACAAACTCTAACAAACATCCATCCATCTAAACTTTCACATTTATAATATTAGTAAGATGAAAAAATAACAATTTATGACACAACATAAATCACAATATCGAAAAATCCAGGCAAAGGACCTTAGAAATTAGGAGATACAAAGATTAGTTAATACGTTAGAAGGGCAGTATAAAGATTTGAAACTGCAATAGGTGTGTGAATGAGAAAGTGCGCGTTAAATGAAAATTCACGGTCTCTGGATTACGAGTATAGATTGAAATAAATACTCGATTTTTAGTTGTGCAAGTAAACAGTTTAACTGTCTGCAAAACAATCGCAAAACAGTTGTTTAGTCAAAAGTGAGCGCCCGCTGTTAAAGCGAGCCTACAATTTCCTCAAAAGCCGGCAACGCATCTGTAGTTCCTCTGGTGTCGCGGATGTCCATGGGCGTCGTTGACTCCTTTGTGTTCCCGCCGCTCGTTTGCCCCCGACTCATATATAAAAAAAAGTATAAAGAAAAATATTTGTGCATTGAAAAAGAACTATTAAAAATAACAATATTTCAAATTATTTAACTGCCTTGTCTCGAACAAAAAGAGTAAGGAAAGTAATACATTAAATTGTGAGCTGTTCGAGTACGCGACGCCTTGCCTCTATTTTTGGAACGGATAAATTTTATTACTATCGGAGGGGAATTTCCCAGCCAATCAAAACATTGCTAAAATATATTTCAAACGCTACATGGCATTTCACTTCGCGCTTTTTAGATAAACCTCTTTTTTTAAGAAACGCGTGTTCTGAATTTCATATGTTATGACATATACAGATTTTTTTTACGTCACCTTATTTGGCCAAAATCGCGAAGCGATCGCTGCTGGTCGCATCCGCAATTGCAGATGATTTGCCTATCCTTAATCGACGAAAGGGGAGACGCATATTCAGAGGATATTTCCCTATCCTATGCGTCTCCTCCGTCGTTAAATTCACTTACCCCGTTCCTTTGCTTATAAAAACACTATAAAGAGACTAAAATTAGGTCACATAATGAATTGCTTCCATTTTACTCCTATCTTCTGTATGGTTGTGGTATTTGCATAGCAGGCGCCGGCCCATTGGTGTGAAGATGTTAAACTAGGCTATACCAATTTTGAATACTAGATTCATAAACATTGAGAATAAATATGATTGGACTAAGCAAATTGTAAATTTCAATGTTATTGTGCAAGTCTGATAATAATAATATCAAGATAATTGTTAAATAATACTGTCACTCAAAGTATCAAAAGTTAATAGTGCTATTATTATCATAATATTAGTCATGTTGGTCACGACTTTGAACATCGTGATTGTGATCGCGTTTCTTCAGATTCAAAATCAGATATCAGTCGTATCAGTCAATATCGACAATTATCTGATAGTAATCTATTAGACATTTGTATATTGTTATACAGTTTAGATATACAGATGTTTGTTAGAGTTCTTAGCTTAAACTGCTGAACGGATCTCGATGATATTTGGAACAGATGTAGAGCACAGCCTGGAAGAACATATTCTATTTACTTTTGTTTTCTTAATTTAATTCCACACGGACGGCGTCGCAGGCGAAAGCTAGTTTTAAATAATAACCGCAAGAAAAAAGTACATTTCTTTAAAATAATTAGGTAAATACAATTTGTAGTACTCGTATTTCATCATCTTGCGCCTTGTTCTACTCCCGTGGGTCGGCAACAGGTTTTTGTCCTCCACACAACTATATCATGCATCATCTCAATCATCACTCCCTTCTTGATCATGTCACCTTTCACACAATCCATCTCTTTATAGGTCTACCTCTACCGGTGTACCTCCACATTCGTATAGTACTCTTTTATAATACTCGTATTCAACAAACATTTTCATAAACTGTGTTCTTGTGGTATTTGTATTTAATTAATAGCAAGCCGCAAGCAAGTTTTTTTAATTGATAACGTATTGAATTTAAAAAAAAATATATTCTTCTCCAATGCGATATATTTTTTGTAGAAAAAAATGCTTATTTTATTTCAATGGAAACGTTATTTCAAATTTTAAATAAAAAAATTAAAAAAAATTAATTGGCACGAGTTTGTCGAATGTTTGGGCAGACTTAACTCACAGTTAAGTTATAGTTTAAACTAGCTTTCACCCATAACTCTGTCCCCTCGGAATTAAAAAAAAAGTAAAAGTAAGTATTCTATGTGTTCTTCCAGATATCTATCCTCTAAATTTATACAAAATTTCATCGAGATCAGTTCAGTTTAGGCTACAAACTCCAACAAACATCCATCCATCTAAACTTTTACAATTATAATATTAGTAAAATTTACTGAAAAAATACAGCAGTTCTTTTACGCAACGGATGAAGACGACAAAAGGCGGATGACTCCGATTGCTCGAGCTTTGTGAAGGCGCGAGCCAATCTTCCACATGAAAGCAAAATATTCTCTTTCTGTCGGAGCAAGCTGCAGCTTTAAATTGGATAATATTTTATTATTAGATATATCTTTTCTGTGGAAAATAAAATACTAGCTGGTATACGAGACTTCGTGCGCGTCGAAAAAAAAAATAGTATAGCTTACGCTACTCAGTTAACGTAATAATTTTTAAATCAGTCCAGTAGTTTTTGAGTTATTTCAATACATACATAAATAACAATATTTCCTCTTTACAATATTAATACAGATAGTTATAGGTACGTTGTTGTTTTAGGCCTATTTGATTTTTAGTTGTGCAACTAAACAGTTGAATTGGCTCTGTAACAATCGACAGTCGCACAACACAGTCGCTCTTAGTAAGCATTTTAATTTCAAACTAAACATAACTAGAAATAGGTAATGAAATAAAAATAGTTTGAGTTAAATTTTTAGTAATATTTAATTTTGATTCACTTTTATATTTTTATAGAATCTTAAAATAATAGCTATTATTAATATTAATATAATAATAAGTAATGATACAATCGAATAAATAGAAAAATCAGCCAAAAATTCATTATCCATATTGATATATTCTGGTATTTCAGTCGTGGTTTGTGATTGTAAATCTATTTGCAAGGTTTCATTTTTTTGAACTCCAGTTGTGCTGCTGATAATCTGTTCATTTTTAACTAACGTTGCCAACTCCGTTGTAGAATGCATTAAATTATCTTCAACTTCAAGAGTCCGTGCAAATGTTCCATCGTCTGCTTCATTGGAACTTGTAGTTGTGAAGATGTCGATTGCTTTGATATCTGACTTAATAATTATTTTATTTCGTTTCAGTGGTATTACTATATCATCTTTATCTGTTGAATATTTAATTAAATTATGTGTGGTGCTAGAAATCTCAGATGTATCTTTAAATACACTTCCTTTTGTCCAAGAAATCGTTGATGGGTGTAAATAATTAATGAATTTACTTGCAGTTGTTTTTGTATAAATTCCTTCTGTCAAAGTACTTGGAGTTAACGTTGTAGTTAGTTCACTATCCATTACATTTAAATTCTGTTTGTTGCTGGAAATCTCAGAGGTATCTTTAACTTCACTTCCTTTTGTCCTAGAAATTGATGGATGTAAGAAATCCCATAATGTTGTCGAAAAACTTACATATTTAGTTGTTGTTGTTTTGATATTACTCCCTTCTGTTGAAGATCGTGGAATTAACTTTGTGGTCAGTTCAGTATCCATTACATTTGCCTTACTAGTAGTACTTTCGTCGTTTTTATCAGGCATATTAGTATAAATTGTCTTAAAACTCGTTGCTATATCTCTATTTGTTGTGGGATCATAAAGGGTTTCGGGTAAGGCAGTTGTGGTATCTTGTTCAGTGGACGAGTGTATGGCATAATTTAATTCAGTAGTTATTGATAATGTTGATGCATAGGTTTCGTCTTCGATTTTTGGTGCTTCTACAGTAGTACCTAGAAGTTTGGAATCGATCCATTCTATGTCAGTTTTATGTGTAGACGTTTCTGTACTTAATATTGTTTGTGATGTTGCTGGTAATTCTGTATTTAACATTACAGCACTTTGAGATGTATCTGTGATGTAGACAACTTCTGTTATATCAGATAATTCTTGTGTTTGAATATTAGTAGATTGTTCTGGTGTATTAAGAAATTCTGTATCGAGCAAATTCATAGCAATGTCAGGATGAGTAATATAGTCATTGTTTTCATGGATTTCATTAGAATATCCGACTGTTATGTCAAATTGTTGTTCTGTTATGGTTTGAATATCTGGTGTATTTTCTACTGTGGTAAAATCATAAAATTCTGTATAATCATAGACAGAATTATCGTATATTTTACAAAGTTCTTTATCGTACAACGGTGGGATGTAGCGAAAAGAATCAATAAGAACTACAGAGCCATCATTCGTCTTGCCTTTCAGAAAAATCTGAAATTAAAATACCAAAATGTAATTTGATTTACGAATTGTATATACCGTAATACATTTACATATCTCCATCATCATCCACTTGCCTTTATCCCTTACGGAGGGTCGGCACAGTATGCGCTGCTCTTCCATACGTCTCTATCAGCCATATGTGATTCCACTCCTTTCTTAAGCATATCCTTTTTCACACAATCCATCCATACTTTCTTCGGCCTTCCTCTACCTTTGTAGCCATCCACATTCAATCTTAACACTTTCTGGTTTATGTCCCCAACGTCCTATCCTATCCCCGTAAGGGAAAGAAAACATCGTGATGCAAAATACATATCTGCGAAGATATACAAAGACATGATCAACCCGGATTGGGCTATCGGTTGACTATGGAGTAACCACTTTGGACTCCGAGCCGCTCAGTGGGGACGTATTGTGAGGCGATGATGAAATTTATTTTTTAAATAATATAGAATATTGTTACGGATAGATTAGAGATAATGAATTTACATACATATAATTGTACTACCTCATTAGACCGTTACTTGGTTTTCCTCATAAGTATGACGGAATACCTATCGTTAAGATAAGTATTCCGTCATGTGCTTTTTTACTTATATGCTTTATTAAACTTATTTCCTTGATTTTGTACAATGTTAGCAATAATTATTAATAAGATTTTTTTCATTGAATTAATATACTAGGTATCAGACAATTAAGAGGACATAAAATATGTTTGCATGAATGCTAAAAATAATGCTCTTATGCCTCAGAAAAATAATGTCATTTAATTCTTAAATCTGCGCAAAAAATAATAGGTAACAAACTCGATAATCTATACATATAACAAAATTGCAGTGTCTGTAAAATCAAAAGAAAAATTCCAGATTTCTGGAAGATGATATTTGCGTTGCTGATAACGAACAGCTTGCTAGAAATGTTTTTTTAAATTCACATCTAACTGTAACAATGTACAAAATAAAAGAATTTTTTGCCATTCTGCCTTCATTGCTAATATTTGCGGTGTCCATTTTTAAGAAATAAAAATACTCACATAACCATTGAAAGCTCCTAAACCGGACAGCGGTATTTCTACAGTTTTCCATCCAATTTCAAAATCTGGACTCAAAGGCGAGATCGTCTTCTCTCCCACCACAGTATCAGAGCCCGAAGCCGCACTATAAATTTCTATAGATATAAAATCGTTGCTTGATACAGTATCCATATATAGATTAACTTCCACAATCCCCGTAGCATTCATTGGAAACTTGTAAGAAACAACGCAACTTAACAAATTCGTCGGCGATATAAATGTCCTGCTCAATACATGTGGACTCTTCAATAAAATCGTGTTATAGTTGCCTAATTTCCATTTCTCCGGACACTTGTATACAGATGAAAATTGTATATCAAACTCTTCTTCGAAAGGATACGTCACACAATCTTGATGCAACTGTACAGTTAAACAGCGAGGAATTATTAACAGTAATATATATTTACGTTCCATTGTATACGACTACGTTGTATAATAATTTAATAATAAATACAATAACGCGAACTTCAATACCGAGTTCGGATAACCTTGAATTTATACAAACGGTCATTTTAGAAATAACTATTAATTTCCTGCATTTCGATTCAAAACTAAATAAATAAATGTACGACTTTCTTATATCAATGTAATTTTTTCATTTAGTTTAGGTATTTTGTCAACATTTGAGATAAACTAATCGAAACTAAAAATGTAAGGGAAGGAATCCTTTTTTTTTTCTCGCTGGT